AGAGGAGGAGAGGGAGGATGAGGAGGAGAAGGAGGAAAAGGAGGAGGAGGAAGAGGAGGAACATCCGAAGGCTCTCACGCTTTGCGGCTTCTCGTGCCCTTGCCGCTGCTCTTCGCGGGAACGGGGTGGATGGAAGGATACACGTTTTAACAATATGTTAGACAACTGCTGGACAAGTAATGAACACGTTATGAAAATATGTGAAAGATTCGGAAAGTATGGCCCTTATGACAATTATATGAAACCTGATGTAACAAATTATGAATATCTACACAACCTTAGCACTGTTGTAGAAAACGTAGTTATATCCAGAAGCTTAAATCAGCTTACAAGCGTAATATAAGTCAGTTTATAAGTGGCACAGCAAATAAATTCATCAAGTAGGCGCCCCCGCTCGCCTGGGAGGGCGCGGGGGGTCCTGGATCGCCCAGGGGGCCCCAGGACGGGCCGACTCGCCCAGGGAGGGGGTCGGTCCGACCGGTGGAGTCGCCCGGGAGGGTTTTCCGCCGCTCAATTCCTGCGCGAATGGCCCTGGGCGGTCTCGCGCGGGACCAGCACTCGCGAATCGCCCAGGGGGGTTTCGCGGGGGCGAGGTAGCCCGGGGGGCGCCTCAGAGGACAGCGCACGGTGCGAAGGATTCACGCGAATCTTTCGCGGGATTCTCGCGAATTTTCGCGGGGGGCCCGGGCTCTCGCGAATTTTTCACGGAAGGCGCAACGGTCTGGACAATCGCGCAGGGGGGGGCGGGAAGAAGAGAGGAGGGGAGGTCCGATGCCAACGCCTCGAGGGCCACCTCCGGGCCCAAGCGAATGACGGACACTTGGAGCAAGGAGCGGCTAAGGATAGAGAAGGGGGGCGAAGGATAAGAGCCGGAGGGGGGCGCGAGCGGCGCACCGAAGAGCAGCAGCGGAAAGAAAGGAAGTTCTCCGAGGTTGATGACTAATTCAGGCTCTGGCTTTGCACTCGCAACCAGTGCGCCCCTGCCGTCTTCCCCGTCGCACGCGCGCGCCAATCGGCCGGGGTGTAGATCCATGGCAAAGCGTGACCTCCAGCTATCATGGCGCCTAGATGCTCCGAGGCACTGGGCGTCGCGACTTCAGCGCGCGTTATCCTGTCGCACGCAAATCCACGGAGGCGGAGTGAAGCGGAAGCGGCGCGGAGATCTTCAATCATCATGCATCGCGCATGACTGTTTTGGCACGCCCCCATGCAACCCTCAAGCGCCGGCTCATCATATGTGCGAGCTGAGGGCCGCTCCACCTCAGCCTGCCCCCCTCATTCGAGCTGGCGGCCCGCCGCGCATTCCTCCGCGACCTGATCGGCCTCGGTCGCGAGGTATGCGACGATGCGGGGGTTCAGACTGCTGTGGGCGCCGTTCGAGCCCCCGCGGGCGCTGGCCGCGCTGGTCGGGGCCATGCTGGCGCCCCCGCTGGGGCTATCGTTCGCGCTGGTCGCGCTGCGCGGAACTGACGCCCACGCAGCCGCGGCCAGGTCCACTTGCTCCACGCCATGAGGTCTTTCCCTTGCGGGATCCGGAAATCTCTGGAAAGACCTGGAGAGGGCGCCCGAAGGACCTTCGGGACGCGCAGAGGAAAAGTCTCTCGGGGCGCGCTGCCGGCCCCAGCAAGTCCCGCCGAAGTGCGTGGACGGAAGTTGCAGCGAGCTCCCGGGCTACCCTGCGGCTCTGGCTCCACTATCCGAAACTCTCTCAGCTCTCAGAGAGTCATCTGGGAATGCGCCCTGGTCCACTTGCTCCATCATGAAGTCTTTCGTGCAATTAACCGATTCCCTCCAGTCGCGATCGACCCACTGGTAGATGAATGGGACTGGCCTGCCTTGCGCGGTGGCAGTCGAGATGTCGGCCGGCAAAACCAACCGTGGCCTCGGTGGGCTCGGCGCGGGAACCGGGCCGCTGAGCCAAACAAATCGCGCAACTGAAGACCGGCGGGCGAGTTGGGGCCCCCTGGCTGGGCAGATCTGTCAACGCGCGCTCGCTCGGCGAAGTGACCGTAGCTGCGCGTGCGGTCCAGCAGCTCGTCGCATTGCTGATGGGTCCGTTGCATTTGGCCATTTGGGCGGCTCTGCCAAGGCCAAAGCTCAATGCTCTAGAAAAAGCACGGTTGTGAGAAGCTGAAAGTTCGGGATCACAAAGCCAACCGAATCGGCTTCAAGGCGTGCCATCTCGAACCTGGCGGAGATCGAATCCGTTCTCTCGCCTAGTTTGGAACAGTATTTATGTACGTGGCCGGGTCTGTATGTACCCCTTGTGGGGTCACGCCGTGTTTAACAATCTGTAGTGGGATTTGCATCGCTATGGTGCGTGTTCCCCCCCCTGCTACAGGCACGCAACCTGTTGTTCATGCGGGCGCTTGTGACATGAAACCACGTATGCATTCGCGGAATAAACCCGAGAAACGATACGTTCGGGTCCCAGTACGGAGCCCAGATAGTGTGGTCGCCTCCGTCGTTGTGGCTACCGCGCTGCATGTAGCCATGATAACAGCCGATGATTCGCCATATGATACCAACCAGGTGATGAAGTTTAAGCATTGCATCCATGTTGGGTCATAGGTGGTGTTGTTGGTAACTGTTGGCGTCTCTGTCGCCGTGAGTCGGCAAATCTGCTGTGGACGAGCGTACCCATAGTATGGGTGTTGTGTTGCCGCGCAAGGGGAAGAGGTATGTTACCTCTCCCAAGCTCGCTGTAAGACGGAACGTGGTGGCGTAAAACCGTGGCGTATACGGCTTCTTAGGTGTAGTCAGGCGGACGTCGCATACGGGGGACAGAACATCCCCGCCACTGGCGTCCCAGCCTTAGCCAATAGTCGCGCTCTGACGTCGCACTGGTAGTGGCGGCGTACCATGCCGTGCCTTGGAATAGCATTGCGATGTGCAGAGCTGACCACATCTTAATGAGGCCAGCTCCGCTACCAACTTACAAAAACGATTGGACCATGGGGCAGGTGTAATGTAAGACGGACAGGAGTGCATTACCCAGAAGCTGATATATATATATATATATATATATATATATATATATACACATATATACATATACATATATATATCCTGTTTCCAATGCACTAGCGAACTGATCCACTGTCTAAGTAAATCCGCCGACCCTGTCGGCGTGTGCGAGGGGCTTGTCTGTTCAAGTCGTCATCTCCGTCATCTCTGTCGTCCCCTTTCCCTGCCTCCCCCCTTCCCTGGGCTCGTCGAAGCTACACCATTTTCCAGGGACCTCCTGAACGCGCCAACCAAACCGAACTTGAGCAACGTCGTAATTGAGTGGAAGGGAAGCCCCTTCCTTTCGATCCCTTCCCCGCCGGGGGGTGGGGGTTGGGGGGGGAGGTCCCGGGGGGGGGGGTCAGATACGACGCCCCCCCGAGCCCCCAAAAAGCCCCAAGACGGACCAAGACTGCCCCAAGAGGCCCCAAAGACAGTCCAAGAGAACCCCGAATCGCAGAACGATCTGTCCAAGACGCCTTGACGGCCTCCAGACGGCCCAAGAGGCCTGCAAAGCGCCCCAAGAGGCCTCCAGGAGCTTTCCCACGAGAGCCCCAAGAGGCAAAATTCAAGGATATCTCATACGTTTTTAACAGATGTTGGCGTTCTTGCCTCTTCTGCTTCCCGACGCGCCAAGACGGCCCAAGAGGCCCCCAAGATCGCCCCGAGACGGCCCAAGAGGCCCTCTAAGAGGGTTCCCTAACAGCCGAAGAGGGCCCCAAGACGGCCCAAGACGCCTCCAAGACGGCCCAAGAGGCCCCCAAGATTGCCCCAAGACAGCCCAGGAGAGCCCCAAATTGCCCAGGAGGCCTCAAAGAGTGCCTCGAGACGGCGCAAGAGGAACCCTGTACAGCCCAAGATGGCCTCAAGAGAGCCCCAGGATGTCCCAAGAAAGCCTCTGGCCTCCTCCTCTTCCTCCTCCTCCTCCTCCTCCTCCTCCTCCTCCTCCTCCTCCTCCTCCCCCCCCCTCTCAGCTCCCCCTCCTCCTGCTCTACTCTGCCTTCTTCTCCTCCTTTTGCTTCTCCTCCACATCCTTCTCCCCCCTCCTCCTCCCCCATCCACTTCCCTCACCCTTCCTCCACCTCCCACTCATCCTCCTCCCCCTGCCCCTCCTCGTTTTCATCTTCGTCGTTCTCAGGGTCGGCGGCACTGGCCGTAAGGCCTTCGCAATAAAACAACGGTGCATGAGCAAGCACCAGCGGGACGCTCGCTACGCTCGCTGCTTCTACATCCCAACCGTCTGATCTACTTTCAGAGTGGGTTGGCCTGGCAGGACCTTCTGGAACCTGACGCGAGCTCCCGCTGCAGACATCCCCCGAAAGCTGGAGCGTCAAAACTCGGGACAGGCCCGTGAAAACGCGCTGGCGAGCCCAAATTCCGGCAAACTCGAGTCTTGCTTTCCCGATGCACCTGAGCGGGAAACCCGTCCTCACTGCAATGAATGAGGTGTGGTTACGGCCTGACCGAGGACATAAGAAAATCCTTCAAGAATATGAGACCCTCCGCCGCCCAATTTGAAAAACCTTCGAGGGTACCCTCCCCCAAGATGCACCAGAACATCCAACAAGCACGAAGAACATCAGGGTACCCTCTCCGAACCGACCGCGATCGTATACCTCGGTCCGACCGTGCTGCGCCTTGAACCACGAGTCGGCACTCAAGACATCTACATCGCCGACGTATCGGCGATGCGGCGCGATCCTCCGACCCCATCTTCGGTGGCAACTCACAGGGCCTCCCATACCACATTGTCGGCTCTTGCTCATCGACGCCAAATCGACGCTAGTCGACGCTAGTCGACGCTATCTCATCGACTCCCAGACGCTAATCAACGCAAGTCGACGCTGAAGACGGAATTCAGAGGGTATACCAGGCATGATTTGCCTCCGAAGCCATCCAGGAGGCCTAGGAACCGGGGTCCATGATCGAACACTTGAGCGCGGTGGTGCAGAGCAGCCTCCCGTGCGCTGGAGCCGCCCCGCGCCGGGCCGAGCCTCGGCCGGGCTCCCGTCCGCCGTCTTCGAACACAGCCGGCGCCGCACGGCGGCCGGTCGCTCGGGCATCTCCCGCTCGTCGGTCCCGGCGCGCTTGCCTTCGGCGTCGGCGCTGCCACCGCCGTCGTCGTCGTCGTCGCCGCCCTCGTCGTCGTCGTCGTCGTCGTCGTCGTCGTCGCCGACGCCTTCGTTGTCGTCGTCGCCGCCGACGCCGTCGTCGTCGTCGTGGTCACCGTCGTCGTCGCCGTCGTCGTCGTCGTCGCCGTCGTCGCTGCCGTCGTCGTCGTCGTCGTCGTCGTCGTCGCTGCCGTCGTCGTCGTCGTCGTCGTCGTCGTCGTCGTCGTCATCGTCGTCATGGTCGTCGTCGTCGTCGTCATTCTCGGAGGCGTCGGGGGCGGCCGGCTGGCAGCGGGAACGGCGGACGGCGGCGGCGGCGCGGCTGGCGGCAGCGGCAACGGCCGGCCAAGGAAACACATGCTGGCGCGCCGGGAGGTTCGCAGCCGGGCCCCTCTCCACAGGGCAGGTCCAGAACAACTCGCCCCCTCACCTCGTGCTGCCGCGCGTGGGACGTCGCCCGTCTCCTGCGCCCTTGGGGGGTCCAATTGAGTGGTGCCACGCGCAGATCCAGACTCTATACCTCGCCTTCCCTCGCTGATGCCAGACACTCCTCAGTGCCAATTTCCACAGCCACCTGGGTGATGATAAATACGGGGGCGACGCACGCAAATCCAAACTATCCGCCACCGTGCCCCCGGACACGTTGAGACGTGGAAGAATGCCGGGGGGCCTCGTAGGGTTTCTGTAATCTAGGAAGGCCCCCCATCTACCCGCGGACTGTTGCATGCATCGCCCCTGCTTTCCGAGGCCGCTTCCCTCGTGCCCGCTCGAGGATGGTGCACTTTCAGCATGGCAGCTACTGCCTATAATCCCCCATTCCGCTCGTGCCCGCTCGAGGAAGATGCACTTCCCGCGCGGCAGCTAAGGCCTGAACCCCCCTTCCACGAGTGCCCGCTCGAAAACTGTGCAACTCCCTCATGGCAGCGAATACCTAAAACCTCAATCCGTGCGCGCCCGCTCGAGGACTGTACACTTTCCGCATGGCTGCTAACTCCCGAATCCCTCATCCCACGCGCACCCGCTCGAGGACCGTGCACTTCCCGCAGTCCCAGGCGCTGCTCCCAAGCGCTACACGGCCTTCCAAACCACGATCCCTCGTTGAAAACGATGGATCTGCGTCCCGAGCTTCCAAGACGGCCGGTGCAGGCAACCAAGGACACCCACATGGCCCCAGATGGGTTGAAGACGGCCGAAAATGGCCCCAAGGTGGCCGAACATTGATTCAAGACGGCCCAAGATGCCTCCAAGAGGGCCGAAAACGGCAAGCAGAGGATCTCCAACAGGGTCCGACGAAGCCAACATCATTGACTTCACTTGGTTATTAATTGGTTCTCGCATTCTCAAGTTTTCGGGCTGCCGTCAGCTCGAGACGGCCCGAGAGCACTCCACGATAGGCCAAGAGGCATCCAAGACGGCCCCACGACGGCCCAACAGGGTCTCCCGTGGGACCCAAAACGGCTTTAGAATGCCTCTTCGACGGCCCAATACGGCGCAAGACGGCCCCACGTCGCCCCCAAACACGCACCATACGGCCAAGAGGGCCCCAAGATAGCTTAACGGCAAGCTGGCGTAAGAGAACACTCAGACGGCCCAAAAGGGCCCCAAGGGACCCCGGAGACTGCCTCACAGGAGACCAAGACAACCCCTAGATGGCCCAAGTGATGTTCACCATAGAATTGATGATCATCATCATCAGCATCAGCAGCACCATCGAAACCATAACCATCACCCTCACCACCACCACCACCATAATCATCGTCAACATCATCATCACCATCATCATCATCATACCCTTCATCATCATCGTAAGCATCATCATCATCATGATCAGCATCCCCATCATCATCAACCATCACCACTACAACCACCACCCTGCTATTCATCATCAGCAGCACCAGCCGCACCAGCAACACCATCGTCATCATCATCATCGCCATCCGCATTATCCTGACCAGCACTACCATCATCGCATCATCATCAACAGCATCATCATTTTCACCATCGTCATGATCATCACCAGCATGATCATCACCATCACCATCAAAATCAACGTCATCGGCATCACCATCGTCGTCGCCGTCATCGTCGCCGTCATCATCATCATCATCATCATCATCATCATCATCACCATCACCATCACCATCACTATCATCATCAACGCCACCCGCACCATCAAAGTCATGGCCATCATACGCATCAACACCATTGCCCTTACCATCATCATCATGGTCGGCGTCACCGCCATCATCATCACCCATCATCCCCATCACCAACATCATCATCAGATGCGCCCCCACCATCGCCATCACCATCACATACTTGCTCGTCATCACCGTTCTCATCACCACCGTCATCACCATCATCCTCGTCACCGTACTCACCGTCACCATGGTCATCTCCGTACACATCAGCATGACCAACACAATCATCAGCATCACCATACTCATCAACAGCATCACCACCATCAACAGTGCCAGCATCATCATCATCATCATCATGACAAACCTCACCAAACTCAATGTCACCATCACAGTAAGTATGATCATGATCATGATAGCTGCTCTTTTCCCGTGCCATGCTTAGACGATTATGCATGGCGTGTCAGAGCATCCATTCGAGACCCAACGCTGATGGCCGACCGCAGAGATTCGCACGAGCAGCCACACGCTAGGCGAGAAAATCTAGGAGGCTCGGGTATTCGACAACAGTCCCTGAGGGTGGTGGAGGGGAAGACGGAAGGAGCCAAATAAATCTACGGATTCACAGATATGTGCTGGCTGGAACCCCAAGAAAATATCCGTGGGATATGTCCCTTCATTTTTCCCCATGTCCAAACGATGGCGTTCTTGTCAGGGCCCCGTAGGCCCGGACACGCTAGACCCGGACACCCAACATCCCTCGAAACCAAATTTTCCAAACGGCGGCACGACCAAAATACTGCACTGCAGCATTTCCAGAATAAACCGAACACAGTCCCCAAAAGCCTGCAAGACCCCCCTAAACCCGGACACGAACCCGAATCCTGCAGTTCAGCAAACAAAACGTGCACGGGAGCTGAAAAACGTGACATTACAGGAAAGGATGTCGTTTCCTTGGTTTCCCGTGTCCTGGTTTATTTGTGTCCTGGTCTCCGGGGGCCCGATCTTGTTATTCTTCGACCGCGCCGGACCAAGAGAACCCCTCCCCTCCTCCCTCCCTGCACTGGGCAACGATCATGATGATCATGATGCGGACCATGGTATGGTGAGAGTATGTTTTGAGTATGATGGTGATGGTGAATGATGGATGAGTATGATGAGGATGGAGATGATGATGATATATCTATATATATATATTTATATATATATATATATACCCCATGTGAGCTCCCTGGCTAGCAGCAGGACAAGGCAGCGAGCATGCTAGAAACCTGGAACTCGGGTCAGTGGGCTTTGCCCGTCTCGGCCAAAAAAAGAAGCTTGTGTCCTAGCTCACCACCCGAGTAAGCTGACAAGCAAAAGGGCGAAACTCCGTGGCACTGGCCCCCTGAGCACAACCCCTCCTTTAGAGCCAAGGGAGCACCAGGAGGGGAGAACATGCTCGAGGCCCCTGAAGGCTGTCTTCAGGGAGCCGCTCACGCCAGTGGATAGACCCTGAATCGCCCGCAAAATCTGAACTTCAGAAATCTCAAAGACCTCCATGTTTCCTCTCGGTCCTCGAGAACTCCTACCTGCGTCTATCCCTGTGCCTGCGCCTGGTACTCCCCTAGATTCACGAGACTCTGAATCACCTTCCTCACATTCCGGCCCTTCGGAGGACTGCCTGACTTCTTCACGCTGCCCTAGGCCCGCAAGAGGATGGATATCACCTGCTCCGCCACGGGCCTCAAGGGCGGAGTCGTGAAGAGCTCGATCCGATACATGTCCTCCCGGCAGTTCTGCTGGCAGAACGCTTTCCTCGCCGTGCACACGATGATCTTGTCCTCCAAGTCTGCTGCCGTCTGGACCTCGCGCGCGCGCTGCACCGCCAGCTCCTTGGCGTCGTCTGGGATCTTCGCGTCGAGGATGATGATGATGATGATGATGATGATGATGATGATGATGATGATGATGATGATGATGATGATGATGATGATGATGATGATGATGATGATAATGATGACGATGAGCAGATGATGAGGATGTCTCGAGCGGCTTGCTGGTTTTAGCACTCCTAAGGGGGGGCTGCCAGGGGTATTGCACGGCGTCAGTTCGCGCCCCAATGGCGGGGATGTCTCAAGCGGTTTGCCTGTTTTGGTCTTCATCATCCTCCGCTTTCGGAGCAGATTCTGAGGATGTCTCAGGCGAGGCGCTGGTTTTCGCACCCCAAGGGGGGGGCAGATTTCGAGGATGTCTGAAGCGGTTTGCGTGTTTTGGTGGTCAGACTCGTCTGCTGTCAAAGCAGATTCTGAGGATGTCTATGGCGAGGCGCTGATTTCCGCACTCCCAGAGGGCCCAGATTACCACGATGCCCCAGGCATACTTATGCTCAAACTCACTCGTGACCAGGCTCACTCATATTCAGACTCGCGCTCATCATACTTATGCTCAGACTCACTCACACCCAGACTTACGCACACTCAGACTCACTCACACTTAGACCCACCCACCCTCAGACTCATTCGTAGTCAGACTCCCTCGTAGTCTTACCCACTCAGGACCAGTTTCAGATCCATCATACTCATACATTTCCTCGCGCGCAGAATCACTCACACTCAGACCCACCCACCCTCAGATTCACTCGTAGTCAAACTCACTCGTACTCAGACCCATTCAGACTTAGACTCGTACTCACGATACTCATACTCAGACTCACTGGCTTTCGCACCCCAGGGGGGGGCAGACTCGTACTCATCATACTCATACTCAGATTACTCACACCCAGACTTACGCACACTCAGACTCACTCACAATTGGACCGACGCACCCTCAGAGTCACTCGTGGTCATACCACTCGTACGCAGACCCACTCAGAGCCAGTTTCATACCCATCATACTTACTCATACTCAGACGCACTCACACTCATATTTACTCACGCTCAGAATCACTCACACTCAGACCCAACCACTCTCATATTCACTCGTAGTCAGACTCACTCGTACTCAGACCCATTCAGACTCAGACTCGCACCCATCATATTCATACCCAAACTCATTCACACTCACTCTTACCCACACTCAGACCCACTCTCATTCAGACTAAGTCATGCTCAGAATTACGCTTTCCCAGACCCACGACCGCCAGACGACAACCGAATCCGGTGCCCAGATTCGGAATGCTCTCAAGGTGGCCTTAAAGGGGCCCCAGGAGGCACCACGCGGCCCCAGGAGGCTTCAAAGGGTTCCAGGAGGTCACGGTAGGCCCCGGGAAACTCCAGGAGGCCCCAAGATGTCACAGGAGGCCCCAAAAGGCCGAGGAAACTACAGGAGGCCCCAGGAAGCCCCAGGAGGCCACAGGAGGCTCCAAGGGGCACCAGGAAGCTCCAGGAGGCCCCAAAAGGCCCCAGGAGGCCACAGGAGGCCACGCGAGGCCCCAGGAAAGCCCAGGAGGTGTCAGAGGGCCCCTGGAGGCCCCGGGAGCACCAGGAGGCTCCAGGAGGCCCCAGGAATGGCCCCATTCCTATGTGTTTTGCATATGTTCCTACAATGCTCCAATGCAGGAGTGGCCGCAGGGTGCGAGGATGTCTAAGGCGGTTTGCTTGTATTGGTGGCCAGAGTCGTCTGCGCCCAACGCAGTGTCGGAAGACGTCTCAGGTGAAGCGCTGGCTTCAGCACCGCAAGGAGCTCTGATTACGAGGATGTCTCAGGCGGGCCGCCGGGTTCGCTGGCCAGGCTCGTCTACGGGGCGGGTGCATTCCCAGTCTGTTCATACCCAAGCCCATTTATATTCGAAAACCCTTGCGCCTAGACGTTCTCGACGGACAGGTCCACGCAAATAGATGCACAGATGGGGAGTTCCACGCAGTGAGTAATTTGCTAGAGGCCATGCGAAGTCAAAGGAAGCGAACATGCGCTCAGCGAAATTTCATGAAACAAGCCTAGCGTGTTGTACGCACCGCACAGATCCCACGGAATTTGCCTGGGTTTTTAGCACAGAGATACGCACGCACCCTAGCGCGGTTGTTGCTGCGGCGCTCTCCTGAGAATCAATCAACAGACGCTAAAGCTGACCCGTGATAGCTGCTCTTTTCCCGCGCCAGGCTTAGAAGAGAATGCATGGCTTGTCAGAGCATAGATTCGAGACCCGGAACTGATGGCCGACCGCAGAGATTCGCGCGAGCAGCCAGACGCTAGGCGAAAAACTCTAGGAGGCTCGGGCATTCGACGGCAATCCAATCCCCACTCGTCACGTGCTCTGGCGGGCGGGCTTGGCAGTGCCACGCGATAAAGCAAGCTGGCGGCGCACCGAGCGACGCGTGCTGACGGGAGACATTTGAACAGCTTGGGTATTGAATTTACTGACCGAGTCGAAACTTGCTAGCTCCTCGCGGGGCTGATTCGCGCAGAGCAAACAAACGCCCCATCGCCGTGCCTACTAAGCTTGCAGCATCGCACTTTCAGCGCCTCCGCGTTCGTTGCGAGGGGGGGCAATCATTTTCTGAAGGGGGCTCCGCCCTGACACATATCGAGGCGATGATAGGCGTCAGACCACTGCTCAGCAAGCTTGGACAAGGATGGAACATGCCACAGACGACTGGAACGCGGGTTCTCAAGCACCGCTTTGATTTTTTTCGCAGCCAAGAACACCAGCCTCAGACAGACAGCGAGGGGCCTGTCGCGCCTGAGAACTCGCCGGCGGTTGGCAGGAGAAAGATCTGGCAGGCCCATGATCTCACCAGGCCCGTCGCCTCTCGGCGGCGGGGGCCCGAAGTTGGCAAGGCGAGCGCGGCTCCGCGAGCTGCAGTCGAAGCCGAGTCGCGGCGCGGCGACCAGGCGCAACTTCAGCGGCCTCGCCAGCTCGGCTTCAACATGCGGGCGGAGTAGATCGCCATCGGGGGCCGTCGCCGATGTCGCAGCCGAGCGCGACGAACCCGAGGGTCCGGCGAGCGCGCCCGATCCTGAAGCAGCCACAGAAAAGTTCGATCGCGACGCGGCCGACTGCAGCGGCGCCCGGCGCCGGGCAAGCGCGCCTCGGAGCGCGGCGGGCAGTTGCGAGACGGCCCGCCGCGCCCCCCTCTGGACGCCGGCCGAGACGGCGCCCTCCATCTGCTGCGCCCTCGCGGCAGTTTCGTATCGCCGAAGGCTGGCATCTGACATGGCCCCCCCCTGGCCTTGACCTCCATCCTGCTGCGGAGGCGGTCGAGCGTGTCCCAGCTTGCGCCGCCGTGGCGGAGCCGGTACATCGCGCAGTTGAACTGGCCCACACCTGCCTCGCTGACTGCCTCGACCCAACGGTTGCGGACGGTCGAATAGCTGAACGGGAAGAGCACGGCGCCGGGCGGGGCCCGCGCCCTCAGCAGCAGCGCGACGTCGACAAACCACGGGGCGCAGGACGAGTCAAGGAGGACGGGGTGGTCGTGCAAGCCCGTCTTGGAATTCTGCGTCGTCTCCTCTGGGAACATGTTCATGGCCGCAACTTGGCGGAGCCCGCTGGGGGCATCGCTGGGGGGGGATCGCCGAAATCTTCGCGATCGCCATCGCCTCGCCTGGTCGCAAGCAACCTACGAACATCCACAGGCAGGCCGGCGCCTGCAGGGGGAACCCCAGCATCGCCAACTGCAGCGCGATCAGGCACGTGCGAGGCCGCGGCATCGGAGGCCGCGTCCGCGGCGGGTCGAGCTGCCCCATGCCCTCCAGTGCGCGCAGCATCCGAAACATGGGGCGCGCGCCCCACGGGCCGAAACCCGGCCGGTAGAAGATCCACGCGGCGCAGACCTTCTCGACCTCGGCGACCAGCGCGCCACCCCGCCGCAGAGCGCTGGCGCACGCGGCAATGGCCGCATCGGTCGCCTTCGAGGAGGACAACTCTAACGACTTCGTCGTCGCGAAGGTGCAGAACTCGCTCTCGCCTCCTGTCGCAGTCCGTCTGGGTACCCCTGCTGATCGAGCTGGCCTCGAGGAACGTCGCGGCGGCGGTGCTGGGGCTCTCTGGGGGCGCGCGAGCGGCCCTGTTCGCCCTGCGCCCCTCCCAAATGGCGCCTCCGAGGGGCCTCGGCGGGGCGGGGGCCAGGCGCCTGCGCCGCGGCGGGGGCGTCGCCGAGCTCTCCGGCGGGCGGCCGGGCGCTTGGCTGGCAGGAGCTTTCGGCCCCCAGACGCGCGAGTCTACATCCGCCTGATCCCTCTCGGAGGGCGCCCAGCGGCGAAGGAATGCTGGGCCCAAGGCCACGGACAGACGCGCCATTCTCCTGCGGGAGGTCAAGACTTCGAAACATCGCGCTCCTGCCCTTAGCGAACGATGAAACGCATGGGAACGTGTCTCCGGTCTTGAGAAGTTGTTCTGCTGTTCTTTATGGAGCGGACAAATATGTCACGCTGGCAAAGCTCCAGCACGGGACCCGAGGGTTGCGATATATCATGTGCTCCCAACCAGGGCATGGCAACGCGCGCAGTCCATGAGGCGCGCGCTGAGTGCTCCTCCGGCACTTTCTCAACAAATGGATTAGGGACCAGGGGGGCGACGTCCTCCCAGCCGCGCGGCTTGCAGGGCGCGACGTTCCGCGGGTCCGAGAACGGGTCGCCGGGAAGACCGAGGGCGGAAAACCGAAGCAACAAGGCCCCGTGGCGCCTCTTGAAGCGCGAGCGCTCGCCGACGCGCCCGATTCCCGTCGCGCCGTCAGCGGGCGCCTCGGCGGCGGCGAAGACAGTTTGTGTCAGGCTAGAGCCGTGCACGCCAGCAGCGGCGCAGCACGGCCGTCTCATGTCGGCCGCGCAAGCGAAGAGCAACCTGCGCATGACTGAGGACTCCCAGGGAGCTGCCGCCCAGAGCCTCGCCCGCTTGTCCGCGGCGGCGGCGACGAAGTCGCAGCGCCTCCGGACGGCTGACATGGTGCAGGGGTTGAGCATGGCCGCGTCGATGCAGCGTCCGATGATGACCCCCACCTGCCGCGCGGACACCTTAGTGCGACGGTCGAACCGCCTGAGCGCGGCCTCCAGCTTCGCCCGCCGACGCGCGGTAAGCTGCGCCGCCCCCGCGCGCCCGTCGATCCCCCTGCCGGGCATGGCGGCCGCAATGGGGGCGGCGGTAGCCTCGTGGACCTCGAAGCCGTCGGCGACCAACTGAGCCTCGATCTTGGCCCGTGGCGAGTCGGCACTCTTGCAGGAGGTCGAGGCGACGCCGATATTGCCACAGTAAGCGAGCACCGTGGGCATGCCCTCCGAGATGTCGGGAATCGGGCCGGGGTCGGCGAGCGCGACGGAGGGGCCCATGCCGAGGGCGACCTGCGCGCGCCAGGACGCGACGCTCCGGGCGAGGTAGAAGGCCCAGTTCCACCCCATCGGCGCTCCTTCAACATCGGCCAGACCCAGCCCTCCGACGGCAGTTGCGCCCCCACCAGCGGCTCCCCGAAGCTCTCGGCGAAGTCCTCTGGGGCCGCGGGGAGGCAGAAGAAGGGCATCAGCTCGGGCGGGATTTTGAGCGCGTAGAATGAGATATTGATGTGAAGGCTGCTGACGAAGAGCTCCTCCCTCGAGTCGGCCGTCTCGTCGAGGCGGGGCCTCCTCGGGCTCTTCAGCCCCAATATTCACCAGGAGGCCACTGTGGGCATGGCCAGCGCGGGGCACTTGCGGAAGCGCCTGTTGGGCGCCCGGGCGTCGAGCGCCAACCTCAGCATCCCCGACTTCTAGCCGGTGAAAAAAATGGGGCCACCCAACCTTCGGCTCCGCGGTGAAGGCGAGGAGCCCCGCCGCGCGTAGGTCCCCGATGAAGCCCCGGTAGAGCGCGGGGCCCCAGCGCAGCTCGACATCCATGAACGGAGTGATGGGCGGCGAGCTCTCAATCGCGCGGCCCCACTCGTCTTGGTCCAGCAACATGGTGTTCGCCCAATCCTTCTGCATCTCCTGTCCGACAGGGTCGACCACGTCGACGAGGGCTGGCGGCGCAGAGCCTAGCCTCGGGATGCCGACGAGCTCCACGTCGCAGGCCCGCGCCAGGCACGCGGCCCCCTCATCGTAGAGGGAGCGGAATCTCAGCAGCTCTCCGACGGCTGCCCGAGGCTGGAATACATTGCTGCCTTGGGCGCTCAGTCGCGCAGCGAGCCGAAGCTGATGATGAGCTTCGCGATGGGCGGCGAATGCAATGCCCGCGGAGCCCTCCAGGGCCAAGTAGAGCCCGTTCAGGGCGCTGACAGCCTGGTTGACGGTGCGGTCCCCCCATCGGACCCTGGCCAGCGCTCGCTTCTGGCTTCTGGGGTCTGCCTCAGCTGCAGCGAGCTCCTCGACCATCGGCAAAGGAAAAACTCGCGCTGCCTTCCATCCAAAACTGGACGTCGTTCAGGCGCGTAGCCACACGCAGTCCGAGCGCCGCTGTGGCCTGGGAAGCGCGGTCATGGACGGCCAGGCCCCGCCGCAGAGTCGTCGTTCTTTGGAAGTGGGCGCCGTCCGCGCCCTCCTCCTTGCCCTTGCCTGGGCCCTTGGGGCCCATGCGGCGGCGTCGCTGCTCCTCGCGGGCCTTGCGCTGCTCCTTTGCGGCCTACGCCTCGCCCGTCACCTGGTCTGTGACGTCCTTGCGCAGGCTTGGCGCTACTGCGGCGCCTCCCACTCTGTAGGGCCAGACCATGTAGTGGTCGGCCGCCCCGTAGTCGGGCCGGGCTGGCCCGGCGCGAGTCCTCGATGAGCTGGGCGAAACTGGCGATCAGCCCCCCCGCCTGCTAGCCGCGCGCGTTCGGCTGGTCGACGCGCAGCATGATGAAGAGCAGCGCGCACAGGGCGTGATGTTCGTGAATGGACCTGTCCCCGGACGGCGCGCGGGGCACTCCCGCCCGCGTGTCGCGGCGGGTTAGCGGGGCAGCGCCGCCGCCCCTCCAGCGGCGCAGCACTCGCCCGATCGAAGGGGCCCCCTCCAGGCCGAGCCCGCCCTGCGGGGTTGAGTCGTCGAGCATGTCGACGGCCTCGACGAAAGGCCGCCCGCGGTTGCCGCTGGCGTCGGGGCCGACGGGGAAGACTCGCAAGTGCATCGCGCGCGCCATGACCTGGCCCTCGCCCATCTGCCGGGCAAGCGCCGTGCCGGCTGGCGGGGTCGCAATCGCCATGTCGCCATCGATCATGGGTGCACCGCCGATGTTTACAATGACCTAGCCTCGCTGGAGGCCCGCCGCGTCCTCGGCGACCGCCCGCGCGCAATGGGCGGCGGCCGCCGCGGCTCCAGGGCGAGGGGCGTCAGCGGCAGCGGCGACGGGCTGGGCGGCTGGAGCGACCGCGACGTCTGCGCTTCGGGCGCCGTCCGAAGCACTGAGCCCGCTCCGCCGGCGCAGGCGCTCGGCGGAACCTGTGGGTGCGATTGGAATTGATCACCGCCGGCGCCGCGCCAGGTCCGGCCAACGCTCGAATGTCTGGCAAATCGGCGCTGGCGAAGGATATCTGCTCGACGCGGCGGCCCCCGTCGACTGGGGCCAGGGCCCCGCGCCGCGCGTCGGCGCCGACCACGATGAGTCGCTCGCGGTATAGCGCGCCCACCGCGCCTAGGATGTCGCGCGCCAGCAAGACCCGCGCCCCTGGCGCCAGCGCCATCGGCGAGTCGCCTGCCTCGCTCTCACCGCGGCGACCGCGGCGCGAGCCCTCTCCGGGAGGGCCGCCAACGCGACCCCAGCCGCAGGACCGTAAGCGAATGCGGGGGGCGCCTCCGCCGCTGGAGGCGGCGCTGGCACAGCCGGCCGCGCGGCAGGCTGGGCCGGCGCCCCCGGCCGCCGCGCGGGGGCGCCGGGCGCCGGGGCAAGGGCGCCCGCGCCGGCGGCAGCAGCTGCAGCCGCCGCCGGTGCTGGAGGAAGGGCCCCTTGGACAGGCGGCGGCGCCGGCGCGGCGGCGAGGCCCCCCAGCCCCGCCGCCGCAGCACGAGCAAAGGGGAGACCGCGAACGGGGGCGCCCCAGCGGGCGCGACAGCGGCGATTCCACGAGCGGCCAGGTCAGCGCTGCATTCGGCCACGAGCCCGAGTGCAACCGGCCGCGGCGCGCGGGAGTCGGCGAGCGGGGCCGCGCGAACCCGCGCAGCGGGATCCCAGCCGCTGCAGCCAGCGGGGCCCCGCCGCTTATAGAACCCGCCGATGCTGGGCGCGATTGCCCGGGCTGTCGGGCCCCAGCCCCTCCGCGCGCGCGTCGCCGTCAGGCGAGACCGCCGCGGCGTCGGCGGGGGGGGCCAGGGCGGCGCCCAGAACGACGCGGCCGCTCAATCGCGGCGGCTGCGCCGTGCACCCAGCGCCCCCTCAATCGCTCTGATGCGCGCCGAACCCGCGCGGCCGCCGGCGGGCGCGACTGGCGGCCAACAAGACCGACGGCGCCAATCGCGGCGCTGGCGGAGGCTGCCCCGCCCGGGCGCGCCAGTAGCGCCCCCGCCCAGCGATCGGCCAGCGCGGCGCCTCCACGAGCAGAGGGCCCGCGAGCGGCGCCGCCGGCCGCCGCGCCGGCGCCGGCGCGGCCCGCGCCGAGCTCCCCTCGACGCGCTCCTCGACTAGGGGCGGCCGCAGCTCCGCGGTCGCCTCCGCGCGCGGCGGGGCGGGCTGGAGCGCGGGCGGCGCGGGCCTCGGCCGAGGGCGCCTCAGGCCCCGACGGCGCCCCCGCAGCCGGCGGAGGATCGGGCGGCGGCGGCCCGCCGCCGCGGGGCGCGAGAGCGCGCGAGGCTGGGCCGAGGGCGAGCCCGGCCAGCAAGAGGACGATAGAAGAAAACCGCGCCTCCTCTGGCCGCATGTCGGAAGAAAATGCCGCGGTGGGCCGATCGAGTGATCGCGCGCGTCGCGCTGCAAACTGCCGAGGAAGAGACGCCAATATCGCTGACAGATTGGGCGCTCGGTCTCTGGTCTCCGATGGCACCCGGCACGGGCGAGGTAACATCATCAGGCCGCTCTCTTGCAGCTCGCGGACGAAAGGTCAAGAGCTCCCATCGTGGCCATCGCCATCATCGTCGCCGCCACCGCGGTGATCACCCCCATCATCTCGGCCCAGATCACCGCGGCCCCCCCGAGCCTGGAGACGCGAGGTGTCGCGCGCGACGGCCCCAGAATGCTGGACTGGCACGGTGGCGGGACTTGCCGCGGGCAGCTGTGCACCTCCCAATCGCTCGTCGATGCCGAACGCACCTCGGCCCCAATGTTCGCAGCCACTCCCATGCTCTCCACCATCCATACCATCCGATCGGATGGTGTGGGGTTTTCTCAGTGTCTGGGATGTCTGGGTTTGTCTGTGTTTGTCTGTGTTGTCTGCGTTTGTCTGCGTTTGTCTGGTGGCATCATCATCATCATCATCAACAACACCCAAGATGATATGTACAAGCAACAACATCATCATATAATGTCAATACCTACTCACCAATCAACATAAGGACTTACTTAACATAAATATAACACAAACATCAACATAATCATTGACGTAAATATAACATACATCAACAATTCTTGACGCTCCGCGTATCCCCACCAGCCCATCCAGAACCGACGCCCAGGCGAGTAGAGGTGATCATGGAAGCGGGGCAGCATACAGAGGAACAAAGGGCTGGAGAGGCCGTCGTACCCCAGGGGGGGCGGGGGGGGGATGGAGGAGGAGTCGGAGGCGGAAGAGGAGGAGGAGGATGAGGGTAGGGAGGGAATAATGAGAAGGAGGAGGAGGAATACGCGGATGACGATGTTGATGTTGATATTGATGATGATGATGGTGACGATGATGGTGGTGGTCTTGATGATGGTGATGGTGATGGTGATGGTGATGGTGATGATGATGATGATGATGATGATGATGATGATGATGATGATGATGATGATGGTGATGTTGAGGGGGAGGAGGAGGAGGAGGAGGAGGAGGAGGAGGAGGAGGAGGGCGATCATAAGAGTCAAAGGCCTCTTGAATGACTTTCGGAGCCTCCTGGGATATCTCTTGGGCGTTTCTTGGAGGCATCTTGGGACGTCTGGGGGTTCTCTTGGCGGTCCTGGGGGGCTCTTGGGCGTCTTGAGTGCTTCGGGGGGGGGGCTCCTGGGGGCGCTTAGGGCCCTCTTTGGGGCCTCTTGGGGGCCTCTTGGGGCCATCTTGGGGCCATCTTGGAGCCATCTTGGCGCCACTCGGGGCCTCCTGGGTGCCTCTTGGGGCCATCTTGGAGGAGATCGATCAAAGAAGAGGGGCTCCCTGATTCGCGCCCCCCCTCGGGAACCCCCAGAATCGCCTCCTGGACCCGTCTTGGGGCGCTCTTGGAGCGCTCTTGGGCGCCCTTGGGGTCGTCTTGGGACCATCTTGGGCCCCTCTTGGGGCCCTCTTGGGCCCTCTTGGAACCGTCGTGAGGCCTCGAATGGCCATCGGAAGCGAAACGGCGAGAAGGCAACAATCATTGGTTGTCCTAAGGTTGTTGAAGGATTTTGGCCTCTTGGAGTCCCCCTTGGGAGGCTATTTGGCTTCTTGGAGGCGTCTTGGGGCGGTCTTGAGGCCTCTTTGATCATCTTCGGAGCCATCTTGACGCACATTAGGCTATCTTGAGCCATCTTGGAGGCCATCCTGGGCTCTCCGAGGCGCTCTTGGAGCCATCTTGGGCCATCTTGGACGCTCCGACCGCTCGCGGAACGCCCCGTCCAGGTCCAGGAGAGGGGTTAGGGGGAGGGGGAAACCACTTCCCGAAGAGGAAGAAGGAGGTTGGAAGAGGAAACTCCCTAAACCACCTACGCCCAGAGGGCTGGTGGGATTAGTTAACATAAGCACCACCACAAACATCAACACCAACACCAAACACCAACACCAACATCGGGACGGTCAAACACCAACATCAACACAACAGCAACACCAACCACCAACAACATCAAACACCAACACCAAACATCAACACCAACACCAACACCAACATCAACACCAGCCGCGCTGGCCCAAGCGCTGGCGAGGCCCCGCGCGCGATGAGCCACGCCATGCGCGCCAAGTTGGCGGACTCGATCCGCCAACTGCCAGAGACGAAGATCCGGGCGTGGATCGAGCGGGACCAGCCACTCGTCGAGTGGAACACTAACGGGCGCAAGGCCATCCCACCTCTTCCCCCAATCCCCCATGACCGCCCCGCTCCTCCCCCTCTCACCCCCCAGGCTGTGAAGGGCATCGGGGAGTACCTTCTCGGCTCGGAGTGGTGGCGAGTCCTCCGTGCGACGCTCGAGGTCGCACATGCAAAACGACACCGATGCCGATGCCCCCTGCCCCCCATTCCCTCCCCCCTCAAAGAGGGGGGAGGGCCAGGACGGGTAGCG